TTCGTGCCTCGTTCGGATTGAGCCCTGCCCAAGCCAAGGGAGAAAGGGGTGGGACAGCCCGGTTGCTGGTGTCACCGCAAGAGGGATTGTCCGGAGCTTCTTGGAACAGCCGCAGGGCAGTAGTAGAAAAGCGCCGGTGGAATAAATGCATCGGCTCCTTCCTTCCCCCCCCCCGGGGGTGATGGTGGTGGTCTCGGAGCGCTCTTCGACGAACAGGTCAGAAAGGCGGCCTCGAGTTCAGGGCGAGCCGCTGGGTTCCCCGTCCTCTTTCTCGCCCTGCAACCTACGGGATGACAAACAACAACATGTACTGTAAAAGTCCCAGGCGCGAGAGCGACCCGTCGGTCTGCTTGGCCCCCGAAAGCTCTCCATCCCTGCTGGACGAGCGAAAGGAGCCAATTATTTGTGGGTTGCCTGCCATCAAGTCGCCCCCGCCTTAGGGCGACCCTATGAAGAAGCAAGCGGCTGGCTGGGTCGCTCAGGTCGGTGGCTGCGGAGCCCCAGAGGCTGGGAGTTCGATCCCCCCCCCCCAAGTGCGCATTCTAGAAGAGCCGGCCTGGGTGGCTTTTGGGCAAGCGGCGCACTCCCAGGGCGGCCCCGGAAGGAGGGAATAATAAACATCAAGTCGCCCCCGCCTTAGGGCGACCCTATGAAGAAGCAAGCGGCTGGCTGGGTCGCTCAGGTCGGTGGCTGCGGAGCCCCAGAGGCTGGGAGTTCGATCCCCCCCCCCCAAGTGCGCATTCTAGAAGAGCCGGCCTGGGTGGCTTTTGGGCAAGCGGCGCACTCCCAGGGCGGCCCCGGAAGGAGGGAATAATAAACTACACTTCTGCCAGAAGAGCCAGCCTGGGTGGCTTTGGGGCAAGCGGCGCACTCCCAGGGCGGTCCCGGGAGGAGAGAATAATAAATTACACTTCTGTGTATTCTGCACTGTACCTAGAAAACCCTAGAAAGGAACGGCTTAAGTCAGAATGGACTTGACCGCGTGCGAACACACAAATGACAGATCTCCAGAAAGCCCCCCTGCTCTCAACAGCTCTGCCCGGCCCTTGTAAACTCAACCCTGTGGCTTCTTTTAGGGCGTCAGTCCATCTTCTCCTTCGCCCTCCTCTCTTCCTGCTGCCTTCGACCTTTCCCAGGATTATTGTCTTTTCCATAGAATACTGCTTTCTCATTATGTGCCCAAAGTAGGACAGCTAATTCTTTACCCCTCCTTGTAGAAGTGTTATTCCCCCCCCCTTCTGCATGTAAAAGTTGGAGCCTGTCACACTTTTTTAAAAAAAATCACCTTAACTCTTCAGTGGAGAACTGTGGGATTAGCAGTCTTCATCTGCATATATAATGAAGGGTACTATGTTTCCCTAAATTTGTCTCTCAATTCCAGTCCTTCCATCACTGTATCAGTTTGTATGGATTTTTCAGAGATGGCTATGAACCACACACTGTTCCAATATAGTCACTGAGCCAATATATTCAGACTCTCTTTATTTTTAAGAGGACATCTTTCCTAATGGAAAAAAATGAAAAGATTTGCTCTTACAAATGCCCTTCCATCACAATGCATTGGGTTCAATCAGGAATGCATAAAGTCTGGTTCATGAGGCCCAGCCCAACCCAACCTGTGACTTCCTACTTCTTAAAGGAGCCTTTTCTTACTTACAACTGGTGCAGATTGGGGAATATAGTGAAAAATCAGCCATTCTCACAATGTGCCCAAGCCGTGAAACAACAAATCATATCTCCAAGGCTTCTGGCACCTGATTAGCCACAGAGTGTGTGGAATTTTTTTAAGGTTACAGGAAATGTGCCCATTAAGGTCTTGGGGGGGGAGGTCAAACATAGTCTTGAATACTCATAAGAGGCCCACCCAAGGCCCAGGTGGCATCCTGTTTCCTTTCTCTGCCATCTCCACCCCACATCAGTTCCCCTCCATCTGGATTTTTAACAATTCACTGGCCAAAATCCTATGGGGGAACCCCATGAATGTAATAGTAATCCTGCAGTGGTTTTCCCCATCTGGCTTGCTATTTGCCACGTGACCAAGTGTGCAGCTGGACCTGCAACCATTTCTCTGATTCTGTGAAGCAGAGGAGCATGGAAGCAATGCAGGTAGGTTCACTTTTACAGTTGCATGGATGGTATAGGCGGGGATCCTGCTTGATGCTCCTATAATACATAACAAATGTATACTAACGCTTCACTTTCTACACAGCTTTTTTTTTTAATGCACAAATGAGACCTGGAACAAATTGTTGCAGGGTGCAGTGATTCCATTCAAAATGCCAGCTAGCTATGCTTTTTTCTAGAGTATTCTATTATTTTTTGATTTCCCCCTTCATATATTTAATACTTCTGCAAACCTGAGCCTCCTTAAATCTTTCCCTTGTCACAATATATGAAAATTTTGGGACATATAAAGAATCCCCATTTGCAAAATGAGATCACTGTTGCTATTTAGCTGAACTCTGATTCTGTGCCTTACTCTGCAGGCTTCAGAATACAGCAGGTATCACACTGTTCCCAAGAATATATTACCAGGGCTGTGGGTCCTGCACCCCTCTGTATGTTGTTACAATCCAGCTCCCATCAGTCACGATAGCCAGATGTCAGAGGAATTGTATTCTTGGGACATCTGGAGGGCCAAAGGTTTCTCATTGATACAAAGGTATCACTAGCATTCATATAACATTCTTATTTTATTTTATATATTACATTCTATTACACTATTATATGGAGGCCTCTTTCTCTGCTCTCAATGTGTATACTCATAAAAACTCTATGGAAGGTCAGAGAGAGAAATAGTGTGCTTGGTCCAATATCTTTACATGGGTTTCGAGGCTGAATGGGGGGGGGGTGTACCCAGGTCATCCTGATTCACTCTCTTAAATGCTGTACCACAATGAGTCTCACCTTGTCTCTGTCATTTTAAAAGCAGCCTTCGGGGATATGGCAGTATAATTTTCCTAATACTGTATAAAAAATCTGGATTCAAAAAATGAAATTGTGCATTAGTGCATTAAATAAATTTGTTACTATTTACACACAAAGACGTGTGAGTGTGTGTGTATGTGTGTGTAGAGACAAATATGTGTGACTGAGCATTTGGTTGTCAGGAATGATGTTTTTCTCGAGAGAGAGAGAGAGAGAGAGTACAGACAAATATGTGTGGCTGAGCACTTGGTTGTCAGGAGTGATGTTTTTCTCCCTCTTTCCAAATTCTAGAACCTGGTGCCATCTAATGGAATTGCTTAGCAGTAGATTCAGGGTAGATAAAAAGAAGCATATCTTCACACAACGAGTCAGTCACTGATGGAATTCTCTGCCAGGCGATGTGGCCAGAACCATCAGCTTTAAAGAGAGACCAAGACACATCTATTACAGAGCTGGCCTATCGACCACTATCCACCAAGGTAGTTAAATTAAATCTCCATATTTAGAGGAAGCAAGCATGTCATTAAAGATCAATTGCCAAGGAGCAACAATGGGAGAAGTGTGATGATTGCCCTACTTGTGTCTTGCTTGTAGGCATCCCAGAGGCATCTGCTGTGAAGCAAAGGCTTGGATTAGATAGGCTTTGGAATCCTGATGCAGGAGGGCTCTCCTTGTGACGAGAGCCTCCTCGTGACCTACGTATGTATTGAGCTAGACTGTTCAGTTCAAAGCCCAAAGTGTAGAAGCATTACTACATATCACAAAGGCATTTGACAGCCTTCTGCAACCTGGCATCCTCCAAACGAGTTGGACTATAGTTCTCACCAAGCTCAAAAAGCATTCACATGGGTTGAGAATGATGCGATTTGTTGTCTACCTTTTAGTGGAGGGCACCAGGCTAGGAAAACTGCGATATGGCTTTTGGGGTTTTTGTATTTTTGCTGTCTCTAAGCTGAGCCACCCACAATTGCACAGCAACTGCCTTATCATGGAACTATGTCTGTTGCCATCAGTAACAGCATTTGCTATCTCTATACATGGAACTGAATAGAATGGCAAACTCTAATAGGTGTTGCAGAGTTTCTGAATTTTGGTTAAATTCCTCTAGCTGTGTAGCAGAAGTGCAGGGATTCAGAGTAGAATAGTTTCATATTTCCCAGATTAATCCACCTTCCCCCCCCTCCATCAGCTGGCATTTACAGTCTCAATAACTCACTCTGAGACATTAATAGTAGAAAGAATAAAAACCATTTTCTTACAGCTTTGAATAGATCGAACAGCGAACTAAAAACAAACATGACTGCTTTCAACAACAAGCCTCAACAGATTCACATAAAAGAGGGCGAAAGAACCAGAGCAGAGAGGCAGGGTTCCATTTGAATTCAAAGGCAGGGAAAGAACAATTTATTACTGCTGGATACATTGACCACCACCCCATCCCAGGAAAGTCTTTCCCTACTAAAGCTACTGAAGGCAGCACGTGCAGTTGCAAAAGCTCCAACTTGCCTACTCTGAAAAGCTTGCAATATAAATCAGAAATTGGGAGGAAATGGGATAGGAGACTCAAGAGCAACAATGCAACAGAGGCAGGGCAGGAATGGAAGAATCAAGAGTACAAAGAGAAAGGGCAGTCATAAAATGGACAGAAGCCAAATACAACATCTGTACACTCCTGCAGGGAAAGACTGGATATTGGGCATCAGAGTCAATATACTGTATATACTGTATATCCAAATGGCATCAGTTTGAAGATGATGGCATATGTGAGGTGAGATGCTTGGGACATTCTCTGTTTGATTGGTGATCCCATACTGGCCAGGCTCCATGAGAAACAGATACAGTGGTGCCTTGCTAGACGATGAAAATCTGTTCCACTGAAATTGCTGTTTAGCGAAATCATCATCTAGCGAAAAGCATTTCCCTATTGGAATGCATTGAAATCTGTTTAATGCGTTCCAATGGGGGAAAAATCATCATTGTCTAGCGAAGATCGGCCATAGGAAAGCCGCTTTGCGAACCGCCAATCAGCTGTTTAAATAGATGTCTTGCGAAGCTTAGGTCCCGAAAACACCCATTTTGCGAGCGCGGAGGAAGCTGTCAAAATTGTTGTCTAGCGAAAATCGGTTTGCGAAGCAGGGACCAAACATTGTCCAGCAAGAGTCCCCCATAGGAATCACTGTTTTGCGAATGGCTATAGTGATCGCAAAAAGTCAATGTCTAGTGAAAAAACTGTCATGCGGGGGAACTGTCTAGCGAGGGACTACTGTAAATGAATGAATCAATCAGAATTGTGCATCATCATCATGCAAATTCTGAGCCAAGAAAGCTGAATCCTTGAAGCACTCTAAGTCATGCACAAACAAATCCTTCCATATTTCCATGTTTTGCATTGTCTATTTTGATCCTGCTAATTCTGTAGGGGAGCTGCTCAATCTTCAGGGCTAGGAGACCCCACCCACCCACCTTTTTTTCTGAGCTGAGTTTCTCAGGAGA